TCTTTCCATACCCTCTACTGGACACCTCCCTAGGAATAGGCTCTAATGGAGGCATTCTCTCTTTTCTCTCCAAAATTTTCATCTCCTGATCTTCCTTTCACCTTATTGGATTAGGGTTTTCTCTACTTCCTTAGCTGCCGGCGGCTTCCCTTCCCTCCGACAACTTCAACGTCTTCTCTAGGATAGAAAATTTCTCATTGATATTCTCATGGGTAGTTGAAATTTGACTTTTGAAATCTAAAATTTTAGCTTGGAGATTCGAAATTTTATATTTCAGTTGTTTGATCTCCCCCTCCAAAATTTTTATCTTTCTTCCCGCGATAAATATCCAGATCAAAGCTCCAAACTGCAAAAAACAGTAATTCTGGTCTTCAAACAGTAGAAATCTGCACTTTGGAGGCGAAAACACAGCAGAAATTGGCAAGGAAAGGCCTCAGCTTCAGCCCAGGACATCGCTCTGATACTAATTTTATAGGAAGTTGATATAATTTTCTTGAAATCAACGAATGACAATAAGAAATTAGGAAGAAGAACACACAAAAATTCTTTTTATTGCAAGATATATATAAGAAAACAACAAGATATAGTTGGATCTTCAATTGAAGAGGAAGATTAGGCTCTCCCAAATCCCTAGCCGGTAGCTAGAGCCCTCACAACCTAAGAAATTCTAATTTCAGCAAATTCAAAACATAATCCTGAAATCACCGTATTGTTAGCCTTAAATAGGCTCATCTAATTCCCTCCTAAATTTAAATTCAAATCAGTCATCTTTCCCTAAATAATTCCCTCCCAAATCTAAATTCAAGTTAGTCATCTTTCTCTAAATAAATATTCCTATTTCTCTTTCAAATCTGAATTCAAATTAACCATATTTCCCTAAATAGATCTTCATAATTTCCTTCCAATCAAATCAGCCTTCTTTCCCTAAATAAACATTCATAATTTGCTCTCAATCAAATCAACCCTCTTTCCCTAAATAAATCTTCCTAATTCCCTCTCAATCAAATCAGCCGGTCTATCAGATTGTAAGCTATAATAGGAATATAACAGCTATAATGATATTGGGAGAGTTGAAAAATAAATCTGTTGATTAGTGAAAAGACATTTTTATTACCTTAATAGTTTGTTGGACTTGTAATTATAATTATTACTTATGTTCCTTAAGATTAACTTGAAGAAAGTTAGAATACCAATTTTTAGACAAGTATATTTGTTACTGTAACATATACTGAGTAGTAGAAGACAAGTGTTTGTGGTGATTTACATTGCTATGTAGGTTCTAGGTGGATGGATTGTGTGAGGATAATGATGGATCTTGGAGAGGAGATAGAAATATGATAAGAGAAGGTATACTTGAGTGAACGCAGCATACTTTATAGTAAGTGAAGGGCACTAAGTTACATTCAGAACAATAGCTATTAAATCACAAATAGATATTTTTATAAGTAAAATGGAAAGAGGAATATTTTTCCAAAAACCTTAACATGATTTAATAATAAAGTATAATCACTCACTATAATCACCTCAAAAATATAAAAAAGAGAATCAAAACGGACAATGTCCTTAGGATAATATTGCTAAAGTTCAAAGATGAGAAATTGTTAATCTTTTAGCACATGCTATTAAAAATGTTGAATTAAAAATTTTCATTTGAATCAAACTTAATGCATTATATATCAAGTTTCATTATTAAGTTTGTCATTGAAGGTCTATGGGGCTGTTTGGATATAGTATTTAAGCAGGATTTGAAGTAAATTTTGCCAAAGGTAAGAAAAAAAATGGCTTCTCAAATCTCACGACAAGTTAATAAGACGTTTTCTCTCTTTTTGTCCTAAATTTTGGATTACTAAACTCTAGAAGTCGGATCTATGGGATTTAGTGAACATGAAGCGTGGGAGGAAAGAGGAAGGTGCGGCAACTACCTCTTCTTGCGTCTGCTAAAGCTTAACAGGGAGGCAACAACGAAGAAAAGGCGCCGAGGAAAAGCAAAACCTAGACAAGCCTGAACTGCTTAAGCTTGATGGGGAAGGAAGGAAGAAAGGTGGCAAGGAAAGAAAACTGTGGACCTAAGCAGTTAATTAGACAAGTAGTACTGTAATTAGCAATTAAGTAATTATTAAAAGAACATCTCAATAATTTATTAGATAATTCAGAGTGTAATTAGTGATAAAAAAATTAGCTATTAGACTAATGACTAAATAAAAAAATTAGATAATTAATAGTGCAACAACAAATTAGATAATTAATGTTGTAATTAGTAAATAAATAATTATTAAATTAATATCTAAATAATTAATAGTGTAATTAGTAATTAAATAATGAGTTAGGTAATTTGATGATTAAAATAGATTCTAATTATATTATGTATAATTGTAACTTTTGATAGTAATTAAAAAATCGTTGGATATTTAAAGGGCGTTAAAATAAGTAGCAATTAGATCATGGAGCTTAAATTAAATCTATATTTTCAGTGAATTAATTGTCTTAAATATTGAATTAGGTTGCCAAATAATTTAAGAGAAAGATTTAATACCCTTCTTGCCAAATAGTTTTTCAGAATTTAATATTCTTAGGATTTAATAAATCCAGATTTACAGGTTTTACTCAGTCCAACTTGAGTCCAAACAATCACTAAGAGATCTGAAATTGATCTTATATTAATAAAAAGGTTCAGTGGTGGAGGTAGGTGATGCAAAAAGTTTCAATCAACGAAGCGATATTTAATATTGAAAAAATTGTAAAAAAAAGTCACCCCTGATCAGGTCGCAGAGGACCAATTCTTGTGCCTTGATTTTTATAAAACAAATTGCCGACTCAAACCTAATCTGTTTAGGTTTACGGTAGCTCCTAAGCTACTTGGTGTTGCTCTCTTCTTCCTCTATGGTGTACTTTTTTCGCTCTCATCTCCATCCATGTGCTTCTTGCAAGCTAATAAAACTCTCCCCTCTCTCCACGCTCATTTTTATCTGAACCTAGGTTAGATTTGAGTCTCTAGTAGCCACATTGTTATTTTTTTTTTTGGAGAACGGGAGTATCTACCCGTTGTCACTCTAAAGGGAGCACTTAGCGGTGTAACTAATCCCTCGGCGGAACCTAGCGAGGCCAACAACCAGCATCGGGCCCACAATTGCTGTGCTCCATTAAGGAGGCGAGGCCGTAGTAGAGGAGATTCGAACTCGGGATGGAGGGTTCCCAACCGTACTTGCCCAGATGTTTATGATTGCTGTAATTGAAATTGAACTTATGACTCATTCATTAAAATTGTAGCAGAGTGTAATTAAAGAAAGTTTCTGAAAAATCATGTTGGTATAAATACTTTAGTACGTTATGAGGAGATTCTTATGATAAGGAATTAATTGAAAATTATGTCAAATTCTGAAAGGATCTGTATATTAATTTTTGTTAAGCATAAAAACTGCATATGAGGAAGTACCATTATAATAATTTTAGGGAGAGTTATGAAGGAAACATGTGTCAAAGATATGTATCAAAGTTATAAATGATTTGGTAATTACCAGATCTAAATAGTATTCATAGTGAAACCAAAGACTTTCTTTCTTCTTTTTTTTTTTCTTTTTTTTACTTTGAGCCCACCTCAATGTCTTTAGGATGCAGTATATTATGGCGTAGCTGAGGAACTTTTATTTGGTCAGGACATCTGGCGTAGTTCTAAATCCGAACGCCAATAAAATGTCGCCACGTGCCCTTACTCTTTACCGCGTGGCTCGACGACCCGGCCCGGACCGGAACCCGGTATTGCTATGTATTAGGCTATTAGCTAATTTGTGCAGATCAAGGTATTGCTAGGTATTGCTCGGTAACGAGAAATACCATTCTGTCAAGACCAATACCTAGCAATGCCGAGCAATACCCCGGTTTTGCTAGGTATTGCTCGGTATTAGTCTTGAAAGAGCGGTATTTCTCGTTATTGACAAGCAATACCTAGCAATACATAGCAATACACGAACATAGTAATACTGGGTTCCAGTCCGGGTCGGGTTGTCGGGCCGCGCGGTAAAGAGTAAGGGCACGTGGCGACATTTTATTGACGTCCGAATGTAGAGCTACGTCAGGTGTCCTAACCTAATAAAAGTTCGTAGCTGAGAGTTAAGAGGAAAACTTGTTCTGACTTCTGACAAGCTTAGCTTGTCTCTTATTGTTGGATGCATGTCGCCTCTCTGGATCCAACTGTACATTTAAGCTTTGAGAGCTTTGTGTGGTACTATTATGTTGATTATGTGCTTCATGAAATAAAACTATTATACTCTCTTATAGGAGTTAGAAAAATATTAGAAATGACATTTCTTTATTAGATTTAAATAATAATTTAACTCTTAGCAGGATTTATGTAGCCGAACACATATAGTGGGATAAAGGCTTGATGTTGTTGTTGTCCTATACTCTCTCATAGGAATATTGAGTTAATTCTATGAATTAGTCCATGTATTGATGATATAAACAAGGTGATGGTGATTTTTATAATTATATATTTTATATAAACTATAATTATTTTTCCAGAAAAGAAATAGACGCATTCCTACCTTAGAATTTTTGTTTGGTGTGAAGATTAGAATTTTTTTGTCAAAGGATAGAGATCTAGCTCAAATATTTTGGCCAATTACACAGATAAGAAGGGCATCGAACAATTACAAATAAAAATGACCCAAGATAGAGATGATGAATATTTAGTTTAAAGTATGGGATAGAAAAGACACAAATCAACTACGAAGCATGTCGTTTGAACTACAGCTTGTTGTAGTGTAGAAGAAAATACTAAGACAATCACTCACTGTAATTAGTCAAATGCTTATTAGTTATTTAGGCTTCATTTGGGATGGCTTTCTTACTGCTTCTTAAAGTAGTTTTTTAGTACAAAAATTGTACTAAAAAATCACTTTGAAAAGCAATAAGAAAGTCATCTCAATCGAAGCATGAATTCAACAGATGGACAAAACTACTTCATGTTCTGAATTTTTTTTGTCTTGTACTTTGATGAACAGGTACCAGATGCCTAATTTTCCAGAATGTGATCAAGAAGAGTGAACCAAATGTAGGTTTTCATAACATAATAGTTTATTCAAGCCTTAGTTCTGTCTTACTTGTTTTTCCTGTTTGCATAATGCAATGTACAGCTTTTGTAGATTAACAAGGAATAATCCTCTACTTTGTACAGTTAGGTAAGTTTGTCATTGTCATCTTTGTTCCAAACTCTGTTATTACTTTGAGGAAAATTTGTTTTTATTTGAATAATCATTATTGAAATTTGAGCCTCATTCAGTTATTCAAATTATATATCTCTGCAAATTGGAGGAGCAGAAGATCAGGTTTTTAGGCTTTGTTTGGGGCTTTTTATTGTTTTTTAAAGCGGCTTTTTAATAAAAAATCAAAATTTATGTATTAGAAAGCTGTTTTAAGAAGCAGTAAAAAGCCGTCCCAAGCCAAATCTTAGTGTTTTAGGGTGATGTGCAACATCAACTCCTCACAAGAGTATGATGTGGTGAAATGTCAATGTGCAAAGCAAAATAATGATTATATTAATGATAGTGACCAAAGCAAAAGAATAGATTATTTGTTAGATGATATAATAGAAGATTAGGTAGCATAAGCTTAAGACTTAAGATTAGTTATAATTAATAAATTTAAAATAATAGTGACCAAGCAAAAATAGCTATTTATTCAAGTTGAAAATAGATGAAGTTTTGAAGCTGATTTTTCAAAATTTGTTGCATGTGATGTGCATATAAAAATTTATTAAGATTTTGTTTGGGGTAGCTTTCTTAATGCTTTTAAAAGCAACTTTTTCGTATAAAAGTTTCTAGTTTAAAAATTTATTTAAGAAAATAGTAAGAAAGCCGTCCCAAACGAAGCCTAAAGCTTTAAGTAATTTTTGGAATTCAAGGCTTTAAGATTGTTCTAATAATACTAATATTTGATGACTAACTTTTGTATGATTTATATAGTGATTGGGGAAGACTTTTCAAGGCCAAAAGAGAGGAAGAAGATTGATTTTTCAAAATATTTTGTTGAATAAAGATTATTTTAATCTTTTTCATGTATCTAAGTATGAAAATCAACCACAGAAAATTTTTATAGTACTTGAATGATTTGATTCTTTTTCTGAGATTTGAATGCATGAAAAAAATAGTTCTTCCATGTGATATTTGGGAGAGTATACTTATTAAGGCTTCGTTTGGCATAGCTTTCTAATACAAAAATTTAAAATTGTGTTAAAAATTTGTTTAAGAAGCACTAAGAAAGTTGTCTCAAACGAAATCTAAAGTGAGTGTAAAGTTTTTTTTTTTCTTTTTCTCTCTCTCATAGTTACAAGGAACATATAAGCGCATAAGCACAAATAAACATACAAATAGATGGATGAATAAAAGTTCAAACTCTTTGAAAAGCTCTAGAAAGGGAAAAGCTCTCAAATAACTCACAACAAATTAAGAAGAAACTACTATATCAACCCATAATATTAAGGAACTAAAAATATTATCTATTCCTCCACATAAAAGCTTACCATAGGCATATGATTCTATTTCATAAATTTTGGTGGTCTTAATACTCTAAGAATGATAAATCATGGCTAATTGTGATATCAAGATAATTCCCACTAGCCCTCAAGAATATGATCCTCAAGTATATGCTCCTCTTCTAGATGGGGAAAATTTTTTGGGCTCTTAGATATTATACTTCCAAAACTTAATTCAAGCTAGACTGAGCTTTCATCTAGTCAAGCAGGTCTGTTACTAAAGCCATGAAATTAAGGCTTCTTTTGGGACAGCTTTTGGCCACTATTTTTTCACTACTTTCAAATAAATTTGTATTGAAAAGCCGTTTTATAAAGTAGCATGAAAATCGTCTCAAACGAAACATAAATGTGTACGTACTACAATGCTTTTCCTAGGTGCCATGTCAATTTTTTATATAGCTAAGCGCATCTCCAACCGAAACTCTCATTTTTCACTGCAAAATGCAGTAAAATCAAAAAGTGTCGTGATTCATCTCCAGTGGAACGTCATTTTGCCCCCAAATCATCATCGTACTTTCGTGTCTTTCTCAAACAGAGTTTGGTAGAGAGAAAGAAATGGTGAAAGTGAACAGTGCGACGCCAATATTAGCGTCGCACTGTTCATCAGCGACTGAATGGCAGCAAAAATGGAGTTTGGTTGGGACGTCTGAGGCTCTCCATTCGCATGTTTGCCAAACGGCTGGAGAAGGCCTATGTTAAATAACATATGGGTGCACTTTTGATGTCTTTTTTTATTATGTCTAATGCCACTTTATTCTTAGATCTCATATTTGATTAACTCAGCTATCTCAACCACATGAGAGGCTATACCTTTTATATCACTAAAAAATATATATATTTTTTGCTATTTGTTTAAAACTCTCATTATTATAATTTTTTGAGAAAAAAAGGTATAGGAATATTCAAAATTAACAGATAAAGATAATAATTTATTTTATTTTCTAATAATAACAATCAAATTCAACGCAAATTAATTAATTTTTTAATTAAATACTAATATATACTCAAATTTCTCAAAACCCTAACAAATACATCTCCAATTTTCAAAAATAGTAATATTACTTATAAGGTTTTTAATAAATTGTTTATATATAAGTAGGTGAATACTCTAATAGTAAGACTTTTGTATAATATGTTTCAATAACAATAATGCAAAGTTGTTCGTTATTATTTGTAAAAATATCACTAACCGGTGGTGGTGGTGATGATCAGCGGCGAACGGCCAGCGGAGGCAACAACGGATAGCCGACAGTGACAGAAGGGAGGCAATGAAAGGTCGTGGCGGCGGCCGATGACGGAAGGGGGGGCTACATTGGTGGAGGTGGCGACAGCCAAAGCTGGTTGCAACCGGGGATGGAAAGCGGCGGTGGCTAGCATGCTGTGGCAATGACAACCTGTGGCAATGAGGGAGCATTAACGATGTATCTGAAAATTACTCAAATATGAGGAATTTGAAATACATCAAAAATAAAATATACTCTTTTTATATCTTATATTTATTTTACTTCAAATTAAATATCAATATTTTAAAATATCTAAATTTAAATTATTTTATATCTTAAATGGAAATCGAAGCCATACAAATGCAAATGTCCAAATAATAAAAAATGGAAATATTTAAGGTATTTTTTGCCGTCCACTTATGTTCCTCTCAACTCGAATCTCCTCCGCTTCTAAATCCCCGTTCAAATCCAAAACCCTTATCACTCTCCTCCCAATCTTCCGCCGTTCATCCACTGCTGCTGCGCCGCCCATGGAAGTATCTGCCTCCGAGGAGACCCTCCGCGGCAATCTGGCCGAGAAGCGGGCCGCCGTGGACTCCCAAGCAGAAGCCGTCCGTAAGCTCAAGGCGGTGGGTGCCGAGAATTCAGAGATCAACGTCGCGGTCGATAACCTCAAGGCCCTCAAGGTCGAGGCTTCCGCCGTGTCGAGGCGTCTTCAAGACGTTCTCAGCAGAAACGGCGGCAGCGGCGCTACTGACCGCGAGGCGTTCCGGCAAGCGGTTGTGAACACGCTTGAGAGGAGGTTATTCTATGTTGCTTCTTTCAAGATATACCGAGGGGTGGCCGGCTTATATGACTACGGCCCTCCTGGGTGCGCCGTCAAGGCTAATGTCCTGGCTTTCTGGCGTCAGGTCAGAACTTCAGCACTAGTCTGTTATGAACAGTCGCTGATTCGATCTTAGCAGTTATTTATATGTCAAATTGGCAATTTGTGTGTTTTTACTTCCTTGTTTTGTAGCATTTTGTGCTGGAGGAGAACATGTTGGAGGTAGATTGCCCCTGTGTTACGCCAGAGATTGTTCTGAAAGCATCAGGTCATGTGGAAAAGTTTACGGACCTTATGGTGAAGGATGAAAAGACAGGGACCTGCTACCGAGCTGATCATTTACTCAAGGACTATTGCAAGGACAAACTAGAGAAGGATCTTAGTCTGTCTACTGAGAAATTTACTGAAATAAAGCATGTTTTGGCTGTGTTGGATGATTTGTCCGCTGAGGAACTTGGGGCTAAATTGAAGGAGTATGGAATTACTGCTCCTGATACGAAGAATCCTTTATCTGATCCTTACCCCTTTAATCTCATGTTCCAAACCTCGATTGGCCCATCTGGCTTGAGTCCTGGGTGAGACTCTCTGCTCACCAGAGAAAGTTTTATTTTTTTTTTGTTGCCCTCCCTTTGTCGCTAATTTCCTGGATTCTGTTTCGGTTTTAAATTTTAGCTATATGAGGCCGGAGACTGCACAAGGCATCTTTGTCAACTTTAAGGATTTGTATTATTACAACGGAAATAGACTTCCATTTGCTGCAGCTCAGATAGGCCAGGCTTTTAGAAATGAGGTATGCTTCCCTTGCTTACGGTGAAGGTGCAAACCTTACCAGCGAACCGGCTAATCAGAACCACCAGCTTTCATCCAGTTCTGTTATACTTTTTGCTTGAATAGCTTAAAGAGTGTTTGCTTGGCAGATTTTGCCTTTGTATGGTGTTTTTAAATTTTTAATGCCAAGACCTGAGAAACTTGAACTCGCTTTTGATTTCATTGAGCAGGAGTGCATGTGCTCCTTTTGTTTGATATTGATGGTTAAAGAGGACTTAGATTCAATTTATTCTAATTGGCAATTTTATCCTAGTTCATTGGCGTTGCAGGACTTTTGGTTGAGTGAATGACACAAATGAGTTTATTGTAGATGGATACATTGAAGGAGCACGCATAGGTTCTTAAATCATGTGTACATCCTTGCTTGGCTAGCATGTTATTGATGTGTCTTTAAAAAATTCATTTGATCGGCACAAATCTCAAGGTAATATTTAAATTGAAAACTTTTGGAATTAAATTCAGGATCATATGATCTCTAATTTTAACAAACTTATAGTTAAGCTGAATGTATCAATGAGATGAGCCAATTAACACTACAACTGATCGGATCTGACTCCTAATGAACTCAAATGAAACTGGGAATTAAAACTTTTAAATATTAATTGGATGACCAAATGGTCTTTAATTTTAGCATGCATATGGTCAAATCAGCGCAATGCTTATGATCAAATCAATGCAACTTGATGAGACGAATCTAACAAGTCCAAGAACATTTGGTGCTGACAGCATTAAAACATTCAAATCTTTGATAAACGAACTATGATCTAGGGGAATTGTATGATGGAGTGTTTTGGATTCTTGTTGAATTTTACCAAAATGCCCCTTAAAGATTATAAATATGTCATCAAGAGTATTCCCCTTAAAGAACATTGCACTGCCTTGGTTGATCAGTGTTTCCTTTGCACTTATTGTTTCACTTTTTTCTTTTTCCATTATGTGAGACTGACCAGGTGCAGCTGGGGGACTTGAACAGGGAGATGGTTTTTGGGCACTGTGATTTTGTCACCAAAGTCTACCCTGCCAATCTCCTAATCATTTTCGCTATTTTTGAACTATTTGATATTTCTTCCATCATCATTGGACATGTTCCCACTATTTGAGGTTGATTTTATGAATCATCTTGCATTCATTCTTGTTAAATACTACATGAGAATCTTCCATCCATAGCACTGAACTTAATATTGCAGGCAACTATGAAGTAAATATATGTCTAGTGTAGAATGCTTAATTTGGAAGCACGCTGCCCTTTCTCTTTACCTTTTTATCTCTTTCTAGTTAGAAAATTTTATTTGGGCCGTTCATCTAAAACTAAAGTCTCTTTTTTCGAGGTGTTGAACGGCAATGCACCCAAAAGCATGCATCATACTTCGGTGCCAATAGTGCTAATTCCCCGCCTTTGTTATTGTGCTATTTAATAAACTTTTATAGACCTCATTAATAACCTATATTCTAGTCTTTTTGGATGTAGATCTAACTTTTCATGCTATTATCGTATTGGCTACTCTAAATGAGAGGATTATGTGGTTTCTAAAGCGCGAGGAAGTAGCCCTGGCTAATTTGTAATTGTATTTGGTGTGAGATTTTGTCAAAATTTGTAGCTCTATTATCAATTTTTTTTCTTCTCCCATCTCTAAATTTATGTAAGATTTTGTCTAAAGTATCTGGGCCAAACAAGAAATAATTTGGAATTACTACTAGGACATCAAAATTGTATGTAAAAAGTTCATAACCTGGAAGATAGATATCTTTCCTGCTACTTCTTTTAAGGAATTTGTACTGTGGCAAACGCTTGTCGGCACTAAATTAGCATCAACTGTTGTCATTTTGTTTGAATACTATTTTCTTCAGACCTAAACCTTTTATATCAACAGATTTCACCCCGACAAGGACTGTTAAGAGTTCGTGAGTTCACATTGGCTGAGATTGAGCACTTTGTTGACCCCAAAGACAAATCCCATGCAAAATTTGTTGATGTGGCTGACTTGGAGTTCCTAATGTTTCCTAGGGAGTTGCAATTGGCAGGTGAATTGGCAAAACCAATGGTTCTTGGTGAAGCAGTTTGGAAGGTGTGATTATTATCTTCATATTACCTGTTCCAATTGTCTCTGCAATCCTGTTTTTTAAATTTTATTTTCTTCCGATCTAGTTTCCTTTTCACTGCTTCAGGGAATTGTCAATAATGAGACTCTGGGCTACTTTATTGGGAGAGTTTACCTCTTTCTAACCCATCTTGGCATTGACAAAGAACGCCTTCGCTTCCGACAGCATTTGCTCAATGAGATGGCTCACTATGCTGTAGACTGTTGGGATGCTGAGATAGAATGCTCGTATGGATGGATTGAATGTGTTGGAATTGCAGATAGATCTGCTTATGATTTACGTGCTCATACAGTAGGTTCTAATTTTCTTCAAAGAAACCAAGTTTGATTTGATTCTACATCTCTGTACAAACTCTTTTATGATTGCTTTGCATTTTATCATCTATAAAAAATGCTAAAATTAGGGAAATATTCTAAATTTTTGCTAATTTATTAGTTTTAACAGGAGAAAAGTGGCGTTCCATTGGTTGCTCATGAGAAGTATCCGGAACCTATAGAGGTTGAGGTGAGTTATTTTTCAAAACTTAGTTTCTTTGAACTGATTTGTTTATCATGGCAAGCTAAAATTTGAAAAAAGACCGATGTTGATCCTTTGAAGTTTATTGTTTCATGGCATTGTTATATTTTGATATTTTGAACACAGAAACTGTTGATCACTCCATCAAAGAAAGAACTGGGCCTTGCATTTAAAGGAAACCAAAAGATGATTACTGAAGCACTGGAGGTGAGCAACAATTATCCTGCGAGTTGTCAATTATTAAACTTTCTGCAATAGAATTCCTCCAACCTCTTGCTTTTTTTATCAGGCCATGACTGAAGCTGAAGCTTTGGAAATGAAAGCTGCTCTGGAATCTAAAGGAGAAATTGAATTCCTAGTCTGTAATCTTGGAAAATCAGTTTCCATAAAGAAAAATATGGTCTCGATCTCCATAGAAAAGAAGAAGGAACATCAGCGGGTCTTCACACCTTCTGTTATCGAGCCTTCCTTTGGTATTGGAAGAATCATCTACTGTCTTTTTGAGCACTGCTTCTACACAAGGCCAAGCAAATCAGAGGATGAGCAGCTGAATGTTTTCCGCTTCCCACCTCTTGTAGCTCCCATTAAGTGCACTGTTTTCCCACTGATCAAGAATGAAAAGTTCGATGAAACGGCCAAAATCATTTCAAAATCTTTGACTGCAGCTGGGATCTCTCATATTATTGACATCACTGGTATGCTTACGAAATATTTTTACCAGTAAGAGTTGAATGTTAAATACTCCATCAAAATCATGATACTTGGCCACTGGAATTTTTGGTACTCAATGGTAGAGGCCATAGTATATGAATTATTCATGTGAATTTCTCGTAGTTCAGAATATTTTTCCGTTTATACTGATGATCTGAAATCAATTTTCATTTGTGCTGGAATTATCCAATGAAAGCTATGTCTTGCACTTGCTCCTGCTCCATCATAGTGATATTAAGAAGAGACTCTTCTTACAAAAGCCTCAAGAAGAAACATCATTCTTTTATTTGGATCTTTATTTTTTTTGAGTGGATTCACAGTAAACAAATACAAAACAAAATTTTGAGAGATTTAAAATAATTCAAACCTCTGCTTTCCCTATGTTTAAAATTGCGTAAATGTATCGCCACTTTCTTATTTCAATGCATTTGAAATGTATTATAACAATTATAAAAAATATTTTAATTCATTTAACTTGCTTGCAATCAAAGAAAAACTGCATTTTTTTTTTAAATACACAGTTGTGGTTACTCTATTTTTCTAAAATATATGTTTTTCAATTATGTGTGGAATCTGATTGTGTTGATCAATCCCGCTGTTCTATTGTCTCAGACCTCAAAGCTAGTCGTCTTCGATGGGGGATGTAGGGGGTTTACCCCTTGCTTGGGTTTGGGTGTTATGCGCTTGAATTTTTTTTTTTCCGTACGATGCCCCTGCGCTGCATTCTCGAGCGTCCCAAAGTTGAATGATAGAGAGCAGAGCACCGCAGCGGCCTAGATATGGCGTTGCAACGGTGTACGACAGAGGCTTGAATGTCGTAGCGCCCAAACTGGAGCCGCAACGTTGCAAGACGGACTGGACGATTTTCTTTCTCGTTTTTCTGAATGGTTGCATCCCTTGGGATTATTTTATTTGGCTTTCTCGCGTATTTTGAGTAATTAGATATTGAGAACAATGCATATGAGAATAGAAGTAAGAAGAGAGTGAGAGAGAAGATAGATCTGTGCTTATTTCACTCAACTTTCATATTAGATTTCTTGGTGTGGTGTGGCTCCTTGGTTTTTTTTTCTATTTTGAGTTTTTCCACGTTAAATCCTAGTGTACTTTACTTTTCCGCTGCTTTTACTTTCTTGTTTTTTTCTTCATTGTAATGTTTACTCCTCATTATCCCCAACATTTTCTGTTACCATTCAACCAAACAACCTCTTAATCTCAGTTTTCTTCTCCAGGTACCTCAATTGGGAAGCGCTACGCAAGGACGGATGAAATTGGTGTTCCCTTTGCCATCACCGTCGACTCGACCACCTCGGTGACCATTCGCGACAGGGATAGCAAGGACCAAATCCGTGTGAGCATTGATGAAGTTGCTTTGGTGGTAAAGGAAGTAGCTGATGGGCAGAGCACCTGGGCTGATATCATGTGGAGGTTTCCAACCCATTCAGCATAAGATGCTGATGAGGACTGAGCTTCTTCTCTCACAACAGTGCCTTTGCAGTTGTGAGGATTGAACTGATCATGAATAGGTGGAGCAAGATAACTAGCTTCATCCAGATTTTATCCATTGGAGAAACAAACAGCCATGGCTTTTAGGCCCCAAAAATTTGTTTTTGATATACTCTTAACTTCATGTGATGTGTGAAGTTTTGATATACTTACAAATAGAAAATTTTTCCTCTATATGTTATATACAAATACGAAACGAGCATATACGTGAAAAGGTTGGAGTAGCTCCAGTAGAAGATAAGATTAGAGAAAGTCGCCTTAGATGGTTTGGTCACATAAAACGGCGACCTTGTGATGACCGGGTTAGGAGAGTAGAGGTATTAGATTTGACTTATGTTAAGAAAGGTAGGGGTAGACCTAAAAAGACTTGGTTAGAAAATATTAGGAATGATCTTTCTTTATTAGATTTAAAAGAGAATTTGACTTTTAATAGGACACAATGGAGGAAAAGGATTCATGTAGCCGACCGACCCCACGTAGTGGGATAAAGGCTTGATGTTGTTGTTGTTGTTGTTGTTGTTGTATGTTATATACAAAAAAATGTAACATTTATCTTCAATATGGTGCAATCTGGTTGTTCTTTATGCTGCATAATATTAAGAAGAATACCTTCATTCATATTTTCTCAATTAAGTTGAGATTAGCTCAAGAAAATATTTAGCAGGTGTTGCTCACAGCTTATCTCTTTGTTTTAAACTGTTAAGATAGAAATAGTGCATATTTTTTGAAGTGGGGATGTCTACTTCCTAATTGTAAGAAGAGGGTAAATATGTAATTTTATTTTTGTACAAAGGTGGCATCTCTAGAAATTTTAATATTTTGAAAAAGGCTTAAAATTATCTCTTATTATATTAAATAACTATTTTGGTCTCTTATTTGTTTAAAAATAATCAAAATGGTTCGATGGTAGGATTATTTAGGTTTTCTTTTAAAGAGTTGAGGGGCCAAAATGATTATTTAATATAGTTGGGGAGTATTTTGATTTTTTTTTTAATGTTTATATAATAAATTTTATAAAACAAAAATAAGTGTGCATTAGTGAATAAATTTTAATATTATAGATATTATGATGAACTTTAAAATTAATAAACATTGTCATTGTTAGGTCTCAAGTTCTTGATGAAAATGTTAAGGGATATGTTAGGTCGTCGACAACTAGTGTAAAATTTATCGAATAATCATGATATGAATTATTTAAAATATTGTGTTAATGTTATAAGAAAAGATAAAAAATAAAAAAAATTATTATAAAAATTAGTTTATATGTAAAAATTCAGATAATTTGTAAAGATATAAAGAGACTTATAAAGAGTTTTAAGAAAATAATATGTAATGCAAAGATTTTAACTTTTAATAATTTATATAATAAATTAGATAATAATGATGACGAAAGATATATGTATAAGTTAGTCAAACAAAAAGTTAAGAGCAATAAGGATTTAGCTCAAGTGAAGTCTATTAAGGATGAAGATCAAAAAGTGTTTTTATTAGAAGATGACATTGAACAAAGGTGGATGAGATATTTTTCTAAACTTTTCAATGAAGATTATGAGAATGCGATTGACTTTAGTAACTTTAGCAACTTTAGCACCCTAAATGAACATAAAAAATTTTGTTTTTATCGACATATTATTAAAACCGAAGTTAAAGAGGCTTTAAAAAAATGAATTATGAAAAAGTTGTTGGACGATATGATATTCCAATAGAGGTGTTGAAATGCTTACGAGATGAAAGAATTTCTTGCCTTCCCAAACTTTTTAATATTATTTTGAAGACTAAAATGATGCCAAATCAGTGGAGAATGAGTGTATTTATTCTCATTTTTAAGAATAAAGGTGATGCATAAGATTGTGTGAATTATAAAGGGATTAAGTTAATGTGTCATACTTTAAAACTATGGGAGAGAGTTATGAAGCATAGGTTGCGGGCCTTGCAACGTGACACTAATGTTTCTCAAAATCAATTTGGATTCATGCAAGGTAGGTCTACTATGGAAGTTATACATTTATTGTGAGGTTTCATAGAGAAGTATGGAGAGAATAACGAGGATCTGCATATGATATCTATTGATTTATAGAAAACATATAACAAAGTCTCATGAGAAGTGCTACGTGAGAGTTCTAGAAAAGAAAGAGGTTAATTTTGCTTATATTCAAGTCATTAAGGATATGTATGAAGGAGTTGTTTCTAGTGTTCACCTATTTCAGTTGGATTACATCTAGAATCAACCTTAAGCTCATATCTTTTTGCTTTAGTCATGGATGTTATCACTAGACATTTGCAAGAGATTGTACCTTAGTTTATGCTTTTTGCTGATGATATTTTTTTTTTTGTTGATAAGACTAGAGAGGGAGTTGAAGGTAAACTTGAATTATGGAGGTCAACCTTAGAGTCTAAAAACTTTCATTTGAGTAGATTTAAAACTAAATATATAGAGTGTAATTTTAGTAATAATAAATCTAGTTTGGGGATTGTGACTTTGGGTGATAAAGTCATTAATAAATGTACATGTTTTCGATATCTTGGTTCTATTGATAGTGATAGTGAAATATATAGGAATATTATTAGTAGAATTCAAGTTGGATGGTTGAAGTGGAGGAATGCATCCTACTTGTTGTGTGATAGAAAAGTCCACCTCAAACTTTAAAGAAAAATTCTATAAGATAGTGGTTAGACCTGCAATGCCTTATGGTGCAGAATATTGGCCATTAACAGAGAAGTATAATATTAAGTTAAATGTTTCACAGATGAGGATGCTCAGGTGGATTAGTTACTTTACTCTTAGTGACAGAATTCGAAATGAGCATATATATGAAAAGGTTGGAGTAGCTACTCCAGTAGAAGATAAGAATAGAGAGAGTTGCCTTAGATGGTTTGGTCACGTAAAATGGCAGCCTATCTGGTTAGGAAAGTAGATGTATCAGATTTTTGATATAATTTAAATACTTAATTGTTATATAATAATTACTAAATTTTGGTGTAATTTTGAATGACAAAATAAAATAGAATCTCATAAAGTAAAATAATAAAGGAAAATTTGTGGGCATTCTTTCAATCTTATCTATAAAAAAACACTAAATGGTAATACCACTTAAAATTTTAGCAATATAGTTATATCCAAAAAGTACATCATATTATTATTTATTTTAAATTTTTTGATATGAACTTAACAAATTAAAAAAAAAAATCATTCATTACTAAAATTTGCTCGGAAATAGCAATGAAAAATCAAGATTGTAAAAATCGGACCAAACATTGAATCAGAAAAAGAGAGATCCAATATTCAATGATTCGATCGGAGTGAACCAAATGCCTAATAAATATTAAAGTTATTTAACTAAAAATTAAATGATATAATAATTAAAAAATAATATAAATTTATGATTCAAAAATAAATTTAGTTCACATATAAACTTAAAACTTTAATATAAATTATTGTTTAATAATATTATATACTCATGTAAATTTTACAGCTATAAATTTATATTCTAAACCCATATTATAAACTTACAACTATAAATCATTAATAATTAATAAATAGATAAAATTACTATTTAATATTATATGATAAAAAATAAAAACTAAATAGCTAAATGATTATTTATTATTAACAAAATAAATAAATGTTATTCATACTAATAAAAAATTTGATAATTTAAGTTAAAAATTATTCAATCATATTAAATTAAATGTCCGATTTTCAAAACAATTTGAATACGCCGTCTGTGGGAATCGAACCCACGACCACATGGTTAAAAGCCATGCGCTCTACCAGCTGAGCTAAGACGGCTTAGCTGTATAATTTTTCCATTTTAGTATAATTATCGTATTAAAAACATATCTGAGCTTCTCCCGCCACTCTTCCCATTATATATGTCGCGTTCTCAAGGCCGAACTCCTGTCGAGCTTTCCTGCCCGGCTGCCCTTCCAAGCTCCCTCTCCATTCGAGGAGGAAAGCGAAGATTTAAAGATCGATACAGTGCAGGAAAGGAATTGAAGATGCTTAGATCAGCGGGAAACGTCTAGCTCCTTTGCCGTGGAGGCCGACGTGTGCAGGATTATCGCTCTTTTCGAGGGATCCGACCTATGCCGCCCTTCCGATCACGATTCTATGTCGGGCACTTCTACGCTTACAACTCGACTCGCCCTCGAATCGGGTCTTGTTGGACGGATCAGAGGTGAGAGCTCTATATTTTTCATTCTTTGTTTGTATTCCGATTGTTCGTGGAAGCGTATAGTTTCGCTTGAAGAATTCTCTGCATCCCTCTATTGTATAGATACGTCATACGTTCTTATACTCCCGCGCTGGCATTTGGCTTGTTTCGGTAGTTTAGCAGTTTTGTTTTACCCGGAGATTCGGAGTGTCTTGTTCGTTCCTGCTATCTGTGGATTGCTTTGAATTGTTTTTATTTGTGTTCTTGATTATCTGATCTCTTTCAGATTGGCTTGATTGAAATGCGGTGTAGTTCTAATTACGCTGTGTTTGCACGAGTTTAAAAGAAGCCATTATACTCAAAATTTAATCTCATTGGTATCTATAGATTTAGCTGGTCCTGCGCCAGTTATGCTGCAAATGATTGAGGAGGAAGGGTAATTTCATTGATGGTTCATCCATTGTTTGTATTGTAGTGCATAGAGGTATATAACTGAGTAAGTGTTTTATTTCTTCTTATTTTGTGGCCAATTGAAGTGGCATGAACTCAATTGGAAGGGACGTATTTATTTGCTTGTTACTCCCAACTAATAGACTAACTTGAGTAGCATAATATTTACAGTATTCCTTGCTGCTGAAATATTCTAGTAAGTCTAGATTGCTGAAATATTCTAATACTTGCTGGCTTTGAAGATAGTCCAAGATTGGGAGGAATGATTATTTGCAAACCTCTGTATCCAAACCAAGATTAATATGGCTTGTTTGTTTCAATGATCAGTACTATAAGTTTAGCTTCGAATGTTGTAAATAATATTAAGATTGAAATATGTTTCATGGCTTGTAGGTTTGACGGTGGATCTCAATAATTAGGATAACCAGTTAGGATTTCTTTTTTGTGTGAATAGACTAATGGAGCTTGTATAGAAAATCAAGAGAAAGAAATATGAAAGGCTACTTTTTACAAAATTATGCCGTGATGGGTTCAGTGACCTCAAATGAAGTGGCATCAATTAGGTCAAAGTGGATCGTTCTTGTTTTTACAAATTTAAAACCTCACAACCTACAGGTCAAGAATATGTGCTTTGATGCTAAATTATGATTCAAGATTGGGAGGAATGAAATCAACCAAGGGCCAGTCTCCAATACATAATGTATTGAATCAAAGGGGCTTGTTTGTTTCAAGGTCCAAGACTGTATGTCTAGACTTGATTCTTGAAGCAATAAATTATATTAAGATTTTAGTATAGGGTTTAATGTTGGGCCTCAATTAGGATTTTCTTATTATTTGCGTAGGTCAATGGAATTGATGTGAAAAATCAAGAGGATGTACTAAGAGGCTGTTTTTATTGGATTATAGAGAAAAATGTAATGCAGTGTATTTTAAATATTTTGAGTTGTTTGACTTTGTAAAATAAATTCAGGTGATAAATTTTTTTATTTTGCTCAAAGTAAAGTGAATGTAATGTAAAGCTCAACAATGGGATGGCTGGTGGTCGGTGGGCACCGGTGGTGGGGGTTGTGGAGGCAGCGATGGGGGAGTTGCTGGCGGCGGCAAGCAGCCATGTGGTGGCCACGGGCGAGGCGCAGCGAAAGGTGGTGTGTGTGTGTGCGCGTGTATAGTTTTTATTATTGCAATAGGAGGGAAAAAAAAGTGTAAAAAATTAACTTCTCCTACAGCTTTTTTCTTTTTTTGGTTTACGCGCATGGTTTATGAATGTAAGTTTGGCAATAACCTGCAACTTGACTTCCAAGTTAAAAAGTAATCTGATGCTGGAAACTAAGCCATATTCCGTTGATCCAGCTAAGCAACTATCACAAAATGATTATTTTAACAGTGAATTTCTTTTTTCTTGTATGGAACTAAGAAAGACAACATAGAACATCATGAAAGTATTTCACTATTTTGTGCTCCCTGGGCAAATTGGTTTCCTGAGTCATTTTGAAAGAACAGTTCATGTTTTTGCGTAAATAGATTCCATTGAACATCACTTTGTAGCGGAGTACATTCTGAACCTTGAAAATATTTTTTGTTAGGGTTAAAAAGCCCTTGCCTCCCTCAGGAGGATTCAGTTAGGGTTAAAAAGCCAGAGTGGCTTATTTGTTGTTGGTGTTTGCACACATCTTGGCTGCCTTCCTCTGCCAAATGGCTGGTGATTTTGGTGCTTGCTTTTGCCCATGCCATGGATCTCACTGTGATGCTCCCTTCAACTTAGAGGTACCACAATACACCTTCTTGGAAAATAATAAGCTTATGATTGGTTCAGCTTTGATTTACTCTCAATGTGTTTTTTTTTTTTTTTCCTGTCATTTTTTGCCGTTTATTTGAACTATATGGATTGGATCTTTTATTGTCTCTGGATTTACAATAATTGTATTCCTCTTTATGGGAGAGATTATTACATGCGGAGTTCAAACACATATGACCTTTCGGTTTTGTGGCTCTGAACAGTAAAAATTATGTGTTGAAAAATAACTGTGTTTTTATTGTTCACAGTCACAAAACCGAACGATTTTCTGTATTCGGATTCCGCACGTAATAATCTCTTCCTTTATGGAGGTTAATAATGCTAAGAGCCACGAATGTGGGATTCTTTTTCTTTGGAAGTATGCTGCTTCTATATAATCATAAAAGTAGTTATACAATTTGAGTTTACCCAAAAAAAAAGTTATACAATTTGTTAATTGTTATTTTTCTTCTTTTTTTATGCACTTCATGTGCTGTGTTCTTTTTTTATTTGGATGGTCAATTTTAAACCAAAGATCTAAGCTTTATATTAATTTTAATTATTAGTACGGGCTCTGATTAGACATTTAGGATGGTAGCTTGATAGGGAGATAAAGAGTTTAATGTATTAATTTTGTATGATTATTTTTTAAATAATGTAATTGTAAATTATTTTTATCATCAGAACAATTAATTTATTTTTTTCCGTTATAATTTCACTGTTAATTTTATACACTAAAATAACTACTAATGGGCTATTTCAAAACAATTCAATTTTAGTAAATTTTATAAAAATGAAATTAGAATAAATATTCTTACAATTTTTTTTATGAAGATGGTTTTGAATTCTTTAATTTTTTTGGGTGATATAAATTTAAATTAATTATTTATGTACTATATTCATAAAACTTTAAAGATTTTGAAAATAAAACTTTTTTAATATTTTCTTCAACATATATTGATATATAATTTTTCTAATTAGAGAAACCTTAAAATGTAAAATCATGAAACTTTTTTGGATTCTGAAAATTTAATAAAAGCAAATCTTTCGAAACTTGTTTCAAACAATTAAGATGATTCGGCAATTTTAGGATTCGGTTTGATGAATAAATTTATTTAGTTAATTAGAACAACTGTGATTAATCATTATACTTATAATTAGGATTTATCATAATACATTTTCTTATATAATCAATGAAATTATATTATTTTTTAAATTTCCTATTAATTTCCCTTCTTCCGCCATGATTTGCTTACAAATTTGTTTTTGGCATGCTAATTAAAATTAACAATTAAATCCACTATCATACTAATATAATGGAAAATTATGTGCAAACATCTAAATTCAAATTACATTATGAGTTTGTTTTTTTTTTTCTTAATTAAAAATAAATATATTAAAATACAACATTATAAAGCAGCAAAAAAACAATCCCAAACAAAGCCTATGATTAAAGTCAAAAACCATTATAATTGCACGAATCTCAAAATAAATATAATAATTTTTAAATTCAACCTAAAATAATTTATAAAAAAGTTTTTTTTTTTTTCTATTAGAAAACATCAAAGCAAAAAACAGTTAATATCCAGCCCTGATAGACTGACTACCTTTCAATCTCAAGTTATATACACAGAGCAAAACCAGCTTTCGATAATGCCATATACAAACTTTCAAAGACTAGCTGAAATACAGTGAAAATAACGTTAAGCAGCATCGCTTGTCACATCAGGTGGATGTTATCCTTTGAGATCAACTCTGTTCTAAATATTTCAAGAAAATTGTTTGTTCGGTTTGAATGGCTGTGAAACTGAAACGAATAAGACATTCAAAACAAAACAAAATTTTATTTTTCACAATTAAAACCAAAGATGGGAATACGTTCTCGTATATCAATAAGGCTTCATTTCGGACGGCTTTCTTGCTACTTTCTAGTTTAAAAAAATTTTTTACTGAAAAACTGTTTTTGAAAGCAGTCAGAAAACTGTCGCAAATGAAGTATAAAACAGGCGAAAGTGTGGGCATACCAAATGGACAATTTCTTCTAGCTTTGACAGGAGCTTTTGCTGCTTCAATTTCTCTGCTTCCCTTACTGAATCAGCCTCTTGACATAAACTATCACTCTAACAAAATTGAAAAAAACACAAACCAGAAATATCAATTTTCATTTGAAAAAAAAAAAAAAATAGATGAGGATGGATTTCAAATCTATTGGATTTACTTTAAAAGAGATGTTCAATAGATTTCAATTGGCTATTCATATATTGTACCCATTTCAAAGTAAAGCTCATAACTTTGAGAATTATTTCAGGCTTTAACTCTTTTTTTTTTTTAAATAAATAATTTGGGGGAAGAGATTTACCCTGGCCACCATATCCTCAAGCTTCCTTTCCCTGGGCTCCAAGCATTTAAGGTCATGTTCTACTTCTGCCCTGGCATTATTGAGTTTCTGAATATCCTCTGCAAGTCTTAAATGCCTCTCCTTTTCTGTTGTTCTGAGCAGCTCCTCAGCTTGTTTTGCTGGAAAAAAAAAAATTAAACATAAAAGTAAAGGTAAAATAATTTGTTCTAATGAACAAAGGTATGATTTGCCGGTAAAAATGCTAGCAGAATATGTTAAAACAAATTTAGATCAACTACAACAAGCACAACCTTTCCCTTGCAATTCAAACACCTTCGCTTCGACGGACATATCAGAAACCGCATCATTACTCATCTTGACCTTCAAAGCTTTCAAGTCTTTTTCTATATTTTTTGCTGAATTTATCTGAAACAACCAGCAATGAAGCATTATGAACAGTTTCTTACTAGATTGGACTGATTTTTTTAATGGGCGTGATTGAAAAATAATGGTACCTAATGTTATCTCAAAGAAAAAATTTGGGGTTGGCTTATTCTAACCCAAATTTAATTAGGATGAATTTTCTACTTATTAAATTAATTTTGAAATTAGTATAATACATGACTAATCAATCAAACTCTTGAATTACACTCATCTCAAAGCAATAGATTGGACCAAATTTAGGACACAATGCTCGAACAAAATATTCTCCTTAGGCATACCAAGTTACAACATTGCAAAATGGTGTCTCCAGCCATTATCAAACTAAGCTAGCCACAAGCAGAAATGCAACCGTGAAAAAAGAAAATAGCCATAAAAAATCCTTCTTTGGGTTCCATAAATTTACTATTCATTGAAATCATAACAGTTATCATTACTTCTTGGAAGTTTGAGTAGAGGTTAGCTTTAGCATCAGAAAATTTAAAAAAAAAAAAATAGTAAACATACTTCTTCCTGAGTTGCCTGTACTAGGCTTGAAAGCTTAGACATTTTTTCAGAGGCCTGCAATGCAAAAGAGAGAATTGATCAGTGCAAACCTATTAAAAAAGAGAGAGAACATAATGCTCTAAAGATTTGTTCTTCATCAGCACTACATACTTATGGAAATGCCAAAAATGATTCCAAGGGAGAAGGGGGAAAACCAGGTCAACCTGACCTGGAAGGCAAGCTCTTGAACCAAGTAGGCCACTTGACCATCCAGAATTTCAAGTTTTGAGGAAAGATAAAGTGCAAAGAGTGAACAAAAACACAAGTTAATGAAAAAGCATCTGAACCATGATAAGTACGGATCTTTGAATAAACAAAATAGTTTGTAACCGCTTTCCATTAAAGGATCAGGAAGCCACATTTTCTCAGTTTTTGCAGGTGCCAAGCAGCCCACGTTCAAAATCACAAAAAAGGCAGCTTTATGTTTCCATGTAAAAAACAAAAAATAAATAGAAACATATTTTCAGAAGATTAGACAAGATTAGACAGCTATAGTAACTGCAAAAGAATCAAGAGTTAGAAGCCAAAGCTTAAAATATAAAATTCTACCATAATTTTGAGATCAGCTACTGTAGATTGATGACAATATAATATGAATTTTGGGTGAATATGCTTTAAGTTGGTTTACAAAATAATATAAAAATCAATGGATCTGATGCTACAGCTCATTTCAGTTGAAATTTATTACACTGGTGTTCAGTTTTCTTACAAACTAATGATTTTTTAGGTCGGTTTAATTAGTAAGAGCTATCATCTCTCCTGCAAGGAACAAAACAAAAACCTATCAAGTCCATCCAGGAAATGTTTTATACTACTTCCTTCAAAGAAGCAGATCATGGGGTCAAAAAACCATACAATAGTTCCCCCAATACAATGCCAAATATATCTCAAACATATAATCAAGTCCATAATAAATCATCAAGCATAAAAAAGACAATTAAAAGGGCCTAAATAATTATCTCAAAATAATCAATTTCATAAAAATGGAATCTTGCAAACTTGCGCTATCAGTTTGTGCTACGGAAGACTCCTCGTTACCTTCAAGTACACCTCTATAGCCGTATTTTTCTCTTGAACACTCTGAATTGCCAGCCTCTCAGAATTCTTCACCTCAGCAAGTTTATTTCTTTTTTCCTCAAGGGCCCTCTACAGCAAAATAAAGGAAGCATTTATCTTGGAAAGTTATCATTTTAAAATGGAAATAATAGTAAAGGAAAGGTTTGATGAATCAGAAAAAATAAAATATGTGATAGAAATCCAAAGAAAGTGGAAGTTGCATCTACATTACTAACATAGGAACATAAAACGTAGATTGCTTACACAAAAGGGCTCAGATAAGATAATTTTTACAGATCGGACTGTGATGGATTGACAATAAATATAGCCCAAGCTCAAGAAACATCAACAGAAGACGGTTACGTTTCTGTGACAATCTTGAGAATGGAAGCCAGCTGATTTAGCAATAAAATATGTGATGATTCAAAAAAAAAAAAAAGAATCATCTACAAGATGTTAAGCTATTCCAATTTAATCATACTAATCTACCAAACTACAGAATAATCAGAGGCCGATGGGTAAAGAAATTTCTGTAAAAGAATATTTCACCTGTAGTTTGTCTGGAGATTGAACAACTTCAGACAATAATTTGGAGTTTTCTTCCGCCTTTTTCAATAGCTCAAAATCTGCTTGTGAGATCTACTAACAATAGTATAATCAGGAAAAACTGATAATGATAACCTAGTTAAAAAATTAAAACTATCAACAAACAGCATAATAATTAAGTAATGGTTATGAAAGATTTAGGTCTCAAACCAAGAAGAGTTAATTGGCTTACTAGGAGAAAAGCACGAGCTTTCAAGGTTCAGTATTTAGACACATACATAACAAAAGGAAGACAATCACACAGCGTAAAAATTAAGGTAAGCTCAAAATGGAAAAATTGTATGGCTCGACATTATGAAGATCTTAAACAATGCACATTTTACCTGCATACAAGAATGGACACACTCTTATAAATCTAATTCATAACAGTCAACCATGAATTTCAAAAACAAACCCTTCATGTGCATCTATTTCTCGGTGTGGTGGGTGTTGAGCCATCACTGTGCATTGACCTAAATTCAGAGGTGAGGCACCTGCCCTTTTCAACCAGATATTAGTTACTTAAGACGTCAAACACAAAAGTGGCGATATATCTGTAAAATGTAAAATAATGATGTCTATAACATATTAAAATTAACCATCAATATAGCACATAACTTGAAAAGAATCAACTGAAATGCAAAGAAAATGAAAACTATAAATCAGAAACAATAACATATGAAATAAATTTGAAAGATAAAAGAAAACTTCTATGGTTTTTTTTTTTTTTTTTTTTTTTTTTTTTTTTTGTCATTTAACAATTATAACTCTTAGAATGCATAAAAAATGATAAACGAGATTAATTACATGAAAAAAAATAGTAGACCACAAGCATAAATAATAAATATTATTAACAAAATGAATCTGACCGTGAGCAGCGGGCATAAAAAAGATTATCAAGCTAACAAAATATCCATAAAGAAAGCACCAACCTCCAGTAATTTTTTAAGAATAAAGAGGTTTTGATAGCACCAGGAATTTGGAATTCTTCTGGCATAAATTCTGATGTAAGTCACTAGAGATACGAGGGAATCTAATGAGATCACAAGCAAGGATTTTGAGTGCAAGCATCTATGATATTTGTCTTTCTTTTTTTGAAAATCAATTGGAAATACAAAAAAAACAAATGCAAAAGTAGCAAACAATGAATCTGAAGCTATTGATGTTGTATACTCCAATAAAAAAAACCATGAATAAGAGACGCACGAATTTCTCCTTAAACTATTCATTACTTCAATAATCAATCCTAAATAATGAAAGTTCATACGTTAAGTCACAGATAAACCTAATAAAGGATGAATGCAAGAAAATAAGTATGATTCGGCTCTTTCGTTGCTCAGTTTAACTCTATAGGATTGGCATATGAAATGAGTTTTCTACAGCCAAAAGTGTACCAGCTCTTGAAAAAAGTGTCAACAACCTTACACCAAAGCCCTTTTTGTCATTTTGTTTTTCTTTATTTTTCTTTTATATTTTATTTCTACAAAGAAAAACTCTCAATTAGCACCCTCAATCAAAGGGGGATGGGGGGGGGGGAATTTTGCCTTGATTTGTTTATAGGTTCCTTGGTTTGTATGTGAAAGGATCTATATAACCATTGGAGAGCATACCAACTTGCTCTCGTAGGTAAAAGGTCAGTAATTGCTTATACGACTTTCCTTAGTTTCTCAATTACAAAATGAGATCAAGTAGAATTGACTAATTTTGTGGAGTGTAAAGGAAATCAAGGATTTAAGTTACACCAAATATTTTAATCTTAATTTAAAATTTTAAAAGAATAATTAAGATATTTAGTAATGTTTGAGGAAATCTAAGAGAGAGCTGAAGATGAGGGGATTGTGGAGAAACGAATTATATGGAAAAATAAATTTTTAAATAGTCATGTGGGAGGAAATAGAAGAGCAGGCGGAGGAGACAAAATGTTGAGGATGAGCAAGACATTGAGTGAAAATGTGAAATCATAATTTTAATGCTCAAGAGAATTATAAGTTCATGTTATTTGAAAATGTTTTTAGTGAAGTTGTTAAACTTGGTCATAAATAAAGTAATAACTATCATTCAATCATCAATAGAGAAACATCTATACATTAGATATTATTGTGGTCGATGTCAAAGCGAGAGATAAGCAAAAAAGACTAAAAAGCCTAAAAATCTTCTTATATAGCAAGGTTTAAACAAATGAATTTGACAATTATATGCTCTACTAGAGTTAAGGTTGTAAACAATCAAACTAAATTGAGTGATATTGTGCTCTTTTGTTTTGATCTATTTGAATATTAAGCTTGAATTTAGTTTGAATATGCCCGAGTTTCAAAAGTAAACTTATAAGCTTATTACCAAAGACAAATTAATTGTTTAAAATTTTGATATATTAGTAAATAATTGAATAGTAAATGTAGAACAACAACAACAACATCAAGCCTTCAACCCACTACGTGGGGTCGGCTACATGAATCCTTTTTCTCCATTGTGTCCTATTAAAAGTCAAATTCTCATTTAAATCTAATAAAGAAAGGTCATTCCTAATATTTTCTAACCAAGTCTTTTTAGGTCTACCCCTACCTTTCTTAACACAAGTCAAATCTAATACCTCTACTCTCCTAACCGAGTCAAATTATCAATTAAATAAGTACTAAAAAACTTTGAATGGATATCTTATCAAGCTACTGAACAGGCTATTCCTGAATATAAATTAACAAATGATTTAAAACTATCCCTTTATTTGTCCAACCGTGTAAATCATGATAAAGCATGGTTAATCAGTGTTAGACCGGTCCACTGGACCGGTCCAGGCGGGACCGGTTCACGGGCGGAAATCGCAAAACAGCGGAGATTCCGCCTCCTGGCGGAGAGCGAGCGGCCTGACCGCTCAAACAGAGCATTTTAGGAAGGATTTTTGGGGGATTTCAGAGAAAAATTTGAATGTAGGGACTGTTTAGGGAATTCCTTTTGATTTGTATGCATTAAATAGATGTTTTTCCTAGGGTTTGGGCATCTTGAATTTGGCTGAAATTTGAGATCTCGTAGATTTAGGTTTTCTTTGGGCTCTTGGCGTTGCCAGAGATTTGGGAGAGATCGATCCTCCTCTCGAATTGAGGATCAATTGTATCTTTTCTATTTTCTTTGATTTCTAGTGAAATACAAGCGATATCTTGTGTTTTTCTCCTCATTTCCCAATTTCCTGCTGCGTTTTCCCTTTTTTTCTGCTGTTTTGCTGCTGTAATTTTATTGGTTTGGGTTAGGAATACTTGCGAACACAAGTGTTTCCTATCAAATTGGTATCAGAGCATCGATTCTGGACCACCGGCGGCTGAAATTCTGAAATTTCAGTAAGTTTATCTTTTCCGGAAGATGATTTTTGTGATTCGTTAGAAGAAAGATAGCCGGAAAGAATGTGAAAGTATTAGAAGGCGAGTTCGGACAACTGAAGACAGATCTGGAGGGAAAGTTCCTGGAAATCTCCACCAACACTGACAGGTTGGAAGGGAGGTTCGCAGCGATGGAAGAGATGATGAAGAAATTACTTGAGATGAAGATGAATCCGACGGCGTCGGAAGCAAGAGAGACTGTCGGCGACCAGGGCGTAGGAAGAAATCCAAACCCGCTTCGGGGGAGGAGGAATCTGGCAGTAGAGATCCTTGAGGGAGAGGACGACATGCCACCTCTAGAGCCACTTTCTAGAGAGGAGATGAGCATGGGAAATGA